GCGCTCTGAGGGCCTGGCCCTGCTTCAGGTTGGGGCGTTCAGCAAGGGCACCGAGGGCGACATCGACGACGACGTGACTGGGGGCTCCGAGGACGACTTCGCGCCAGAGGAGGGCAAGGACAAGCGCTCTGCGGACCTGGCCCTGCTTCAGGTTGGGGCGTTCAGCAAGGGCACCGAGGACGACAACGACGGCGGCGACGACGACGTGATCGGGGGCTCCGAGGACGACTTCGCGCAGGATGAGGGCAAGGACAAGCGCTCTAAGGGCCTGGCCCTGCTTCAGGTTGGGGCGTTCAGCAAGGGCACCGAGGGCGACATCGACGACGACGTGATCGGGGGCTCCGAGGACGACTTCGCGCCAGAGGAGGGCAAGGACAAGCGCTCTGCGGACCTGGCCCTGCTTCAGGTTGGGGCGTTCAGCAAGGGCACCGAGGACGACAATGACGGCGGCGACGACGACGTGATCGGGGGTTCCGAGGACGACTTCAAGGACAAGCGCTCTGAGGGCCTGGCCCTGCTTCAGGTTGGGGCGTTCAGCAAGGGCACCGAGGACGGCATCGACGACGACGTGATCGGGGGCTCCGAGGACGACTTCGCGCCGGAGGGCAAGGACAAGCGCTCTGAGGGCCTGGCCCTGCTTCAGGTTGGGGCGTTCAGCAAGGGCACCGAGGGCGACATCGACGACGACGTGATCGGGGGCTCCGAGGACGACTTCGCGCCAGAGGAGGGCAAGGACAAGCGCTCTGAGGGCCTGGCCCTGCTTCAGGTTTGGGCGTTCAGCAAGGGCACCGAGGGCGACATCGACGACGACGTGATCGGGGGTTCCGAGGACGACTTCGCGCCGGAGGAGGGCAAGGACAAGCGCTCTGAGGGCATGGCCCTGCTTCAGGTTGGGGCGTTCAGCAAGGGCAGCGAGGACGATAACGACGACGACCTGATCGGGGGCTCCGAGGACGACTTCGCGCTGGAGGGCCAGGACAAGCGCTCTGAGGGCCTGGCCCTCCTTCAGGTTGGGGCGTTCAGCAAGGGCACCGAGGACGATAACGACGACGACGACGTGATCGGGGGCTCCGAGGACGATTTCGCGCCAGAGTAGGGTAGCGAGTATACTAGCTTGTAAGACGGTAAACTAAGGCAGTCCAAGAGGGCCCCAAGAACGCCTCAAGAGGGACCCCAGAGGGGGAACGCGAACCGACAATCCGAGATGTCCGCCCCTTGAGGCACCCAAGAGGTCCCAAGCGGCTCCCACGAGGCCCCCAAAAGCTGCCCCCCAGACGTCCTGATACACTCCCGCCGATCCTCAACGCCGTCCCATCACCAAGTGCCAGTTGCATCCCATGTCCTGCTCACCCGCTGTCGGAGGTTGGGTGGTGAGATCGCAGTGGAACGGAGACCCCCAACAGGAAATCGTTTCGTTTCGTTCGTGTCGTGCGTGCGGGCGAGGCGGAGCTGCGTGGGCGCGCGAGAGGAATGAATCCGCCGTTCCTAGGGCGAAGTCAAGACAAATGATTCTCCCCCTCCCGCCCGTCCGGCGGTGGCTCGCGGTGTTCGACGGTGTCCCGTGGTGTCCCGTGGTGTCCCGTGGTGTCCCGTGGTGTCCGCCGTTGCTAGGGCGAAGTCAAGACAAATAGTTCTCCCCTGCCCGCCCGCCCGTCCGTCCGTCTGGCGGTGGCTCGCGGTGTCCCGCGGTGTCCCGTGATGTCCCGTGGTGTCCCGTGGTGTCCCGTTGAGTGAGATCGATAGTGAAATCGATAGTGAGGTCGATATTGAGATCGATACTGAGTTCGATGTGGTGCCCCGAGGTGTCCCGTGGTGTTCCAAAACAAGTGAGATCGATAGTGAGATTGATAGCGCGATCGACAAGCGTCCCGTGGTGTCCCGTGGTGTCCCGTTGAGTGAGATTGACAGTGAGATTGATAGTGAGATCGATACTGAGATCGATATGGTGCCCCGAGGGGTCCCGTGGTGTCCCGTGGTGTCCGAACACTTGAGATCGATAGTGAGATCGATAGTGAGATCGACAGAGGTGTACCGTGGTGTCCCGTGGTGTCCCGTTGAGTGAGATCGATGGTGAGATCGATAGTGAGATCGATGTGGTGTCCCGTGGTGTCCCGTGGTGTTCTATGGTGTCCCGTTGAGTGAGATCCATAGTGAGATCGATAGTGATACCGATAGTGAGATCGAGAGGTGTCCCGCGGTGTCCCGTGGTGTCCCGTGGTGGCCCGTGGTGTCCCGCTGAGTGAGATCGATAGTGAGATCGATAGTGAGATCGACAAGTGTCCCGTGGTGTCACGTGGTGTCCCGTTGAGTGATATCGATAGTGAGATCGATAGAGTCAGATGTTGGTTCCCCCCCTCCCCCCCCACCACCTCCTTGTCACCCGAAGAGTGGTCGTATAGGTACTACGCTTCTTTCGCGCGTCGCCGTCAGTGGTGGGGCCACCTGGAGGGCTTGATGAGCGTCTGGCGGTGATGTTTTAGGGATGCGGTGCCTTCTTGGGGCTGTCCTGCAAGACTCCTGTGGCGTCTTTGTGGCCTCTTGGTCGGTGTGGCGCTCTCGAGGGGGCCTCTGAAACCGTCTTGGGGCGAGCTTTCGCCCTCTAGGGCTGCTGTGCAGCGTCAGTCGGCCGAAAAGACTGAACCCAACAAGAACAACCAAGAGCCAACGGGAAGCCAAACAACCGTTCAGGACTGATCACTCCAGAACTGATCACTCTTTTGCCGTGCGGCATATTCCTGCTCGAGTAGTTGTGTAGCTTTGCCGCCCAGGGCAGCAGCATCTTTCACGCAGCAATTCCCAGCGGGCTGCAGCCCAAGGTAGCAGCTCATGTACAGCGCTGGCCGTTGCATAAGAAGGGAGGAGCTCCGCGGCAGGCAGTATCACAGCATCGCCCCGTTGGGGGGCGTCGTGGGAACCTCTTGGAGCCTTTGGGGGGCATCTGGGCCGTTGGGGAGCCTGCGTGGAACGCCTTGGGAGCGTGGTGGGCCATCTGGAGGCGATTACGAGCGTTTGGGATGATTTTCCGGCGATTCTGGAGCGAGTCGGAGCTCTCTGGGCGAGTAGGGCCCGGAGGCTCCCTCGATGCCTCCGGAACTCCCCAGACGCTCCCCGAACAGACGTCAGAGGCCAGAATTAGGCATGTGCATTTGAGAAAACACATTTTCAACAACCACGCGGTTGTGGTCTCCACTGCGTCACGACGGCGCCTGAAGCTCTCCAGGGAGGCCAAGAACGGCCCACGAACCCCCCAAGACGGCCCAATTGCGCTCCCCAGACGGCCTGGGCGGCCCTCCAGAAAAGGCCCGGAGCGTGCCCAGCGGGGTCTCGAGGCCGTCCAGAACGCCCGAGAGGTGGCCCCGGGGAGACCCCATAGAGGCGCCAACGACGCCCCCCCCGAGGCCCGACAAGCCTCCAAGAGGCTCCCCCAAAAGGGCATCCGAAGGCCCGGCTCGTGTCCTTTCCTGCGATTTGTGGACGCTGTTTTCGAACCTGGGGGTATCCAGTACGTCTATGACGATGTCGCCCAGAGAAGGAGGGATATGAGGTTTGGTCGCTCGGCAGGGGGACGGCCGTGACGCCTCCAGGTGTTCGGCTACGCTGGCCCCACGCAGTAAGTTTGTACATACACATTATATATATATACTGGGGGGCGCGCGGAAGAGGTTTCGAGGGCTATTTCGAGAGGTAACAGGTTTCAGACCACAGGCCCCCCCCCCGCACTCCACCGACACTCCCCCCGACACTCCACCGACACTCCCCCCGACACTCCCCCGACACCCCCCCCGACGCTCCCCCGACGCTCCCCCGACGCCCCCTCGACGCCTGCCCGACGCTCCCCCGACGCCCTCCCGGCGCCCTCCCGACGCTCCCCGACGATCCCCCCGACGTTCCCCCGACGTGGGGGGGGTTTTCCACCCTGTGGGTGTGGTGTGGGGTACCCCCTGTGGGTGTGCGGTGGTGGGGGTGCCCCCCCCCCCCCCCCCCCC